GAAGTCCCAGGAGGCCGGCGCCGAGACGGGCGGCGAAGCGCAGGGTGGCGAAGCGCTGGCCCCGGGGTGCTGCTCCGAGGGGATCTCGCCGCTCTTCCACATCTTCTTGAACTTGGACCGGCGGTTCTGGAACCAGATTTTGACCTTTGTGGAAAAGGGACCCGAGCGTTAGTGGAGGAGCCTGGGCCTGGGGCAGGGGCGGAGGGAGGCGAGGAGAGGGCGGAGAGCCGAGCACGGCCGCCGGCGGGCGGCGGGCGGCGGGCGCCGAGCGGGTCATGAGATCGCGTGCGGCGGCCTCGGAGGCTCCGCTGGTTCCTGCTCTACCGGGAGGTCATCTCGAAAGGGCCAAGACTGCTGATGTGTGTGCACCGAGGTGACGGTGACAGCGGGAGGGGGTCAGGAGGGCCAGTTATTTCGCCCGCTTAATCAGTAGCTAGAGATGCGCGGCTTTCTGCCCACCGGGTCCCTTTCCTTCCCTCCCACGCGGCGGCCCCTCGGGCTTTTCAGCATTGGGCCTAGAAGCTGAGGCCGCCCGAGGCGCGGGCCTAGACAGCCTTAAAACCCCGTAACACACACGCTAAAAACGAGGTCCTGAACCCGCCTGCTCCCCTAGGCCAGTGCCCTTCTCGCCCCCACAGGGCGCGTCCTAGGCCAGTGCCCTTCTCGCCCCCACAGGGCGCGAGCCCCACCTGAGTCTGGGTGAGGCCCAGAGACGCCGCCAACTCGGCTCGCTCGGGCAGTGCCAGGTACTGAGTCTTTTGGAAACGCCGCTGAAGAGCTGCCAGCTGGAAACTGGAGTATATGGTGCGGGGTTTCCGGACTTTCTTTGGCTTCCCGTTCACTATCCGGATTTCAGGCTCCAAGTCCTCCTTCTCTGCAGCGAAACGGAATCGTGAGAACCGCGCGACCTAGGGGTCCCAGAGTTCCCGCCCGCCTGGGAGGCCCGGCGGGGGACTCGGCCTGAGCCAGGAGGCGGGTTCACGGAGATGGGCGCGACTTCGCCACGCGCGGGCAGGCAGCGAACCCAGGCACGGGACCCTCCAGGGAAGGGGGAGACAAATGCACGCCCAAGAGAAAGAAGCGTGTGGCGCGGAGACGCACGTAGGCAGCGTGCACCGCGCCCACTCGGCCCCAGGCTGCCAGGACCCACGGGCTGAGCGCCGGGGGCCCTACCCGGTGGCCCGAGGCGGCCTGGAGGTTGGGGAAGGTAAGGGGCGCGAGCAGGCGGTGGGCCGGCAGTGTGAACATCCAGCGCTAGGGACAGCCACCTCCCCAAACACGTGCGCCCACCCATCCCGGTAACCAGCCCGACCTGGCACTCTTGGCGCCAGCGTCATGCATACCAGGCTCGTTGTTGGCTGGGGACGAACTGGTCCCGTAGGGCGCGTAGGAGGTGTAGGCGGCGGTGTAGCCCAGGTCGTAGCCGCTCTTGGCGGAGTAAGGGACGCTGCTGAGGCCGCCGGCGTGGTACTGGTAGGAGCCCATGTGCGCGTAGGGCGAGCCCCCGCCGCCGCCGCCCGCCGGGTGCTGCTGGTTGGTGTAGTAGCTGCTGTCGGTGGCTGTGGACACCGGGAGGGTGGGCGACTCCTGGGGCTTGTGGAGGCTGCTGTTGCTGCCGCCGCCGCCGCCCGGGCCGGCGCCGCCACCGCTCGGGGGCGGCTGGTGCTGGTGGTACGTGCTGGAGGCCGCGATCTGGGTTGAGTGCATATCAGCCACCAGACTGTCAAAGACTCCAGTCATCCTGGCCCAGGACGGGAAAGAGCAGGGGTGGCGGGCGCGCGGGGGCAGCGAGGCGCCTCCTCCGTCTCTCCCGGTCCCCTCCAGCAGCCAATGTAATTACGGGGGAGGGGGTGGGGGAGAAAACAAGAAAGGAGGCCCCCGTCGAGGCGCCTCCTCCTCGGGGGAGGCGATCACCGCGCGC